AGAATGAAGTAGAGCATCAAGAGAGGTAACTCCATCCTTAGGATTATCTTTGGGCAGGTTCCAACCTGTATGTAGTGGAGGGAAGCTCCTTAGAACCTCAGTTTTGGATGCCTTAAATCTAGAGGAACCCTCTACATAAATTCAAAAGAATATTGGGAACAAAAAGATTATCAAGGGAAAGTAAGGCTTGCATTCTTCCCATACTTGGAAGAATAATGTCCAAAGAGGGCTATATAGTAACATTGTTAGATTGCACACAAGAACTCATGTGATGTATTTCCTAGGATGTTGTATCTTGGACTAAGGGAGCCACTGTCTAAATCCCTTCTTGGTTATCTCTCACTGGATGACTATGGGCCACTCAGAATATCTTAGTCGCACAGGCCCTGATTGCAATGTATTGACAGCTGAATTACTGATCAACTCATGAAAAGTCTAATTTAAAAATGCTTCCCTAGGGGTTAATAAAGTATACACGACAATAATCTTAATATAGGATGGGAAAAAGAAACTTAAAACTACATGTGTGACATAATTTTATGTTCAAATTTGTGGATAAGAAATAAAGGACTTTAACAAAGTGCCAGAAAATGTTTTTCTGAAAACATAGTGCCACAAATGTTTCCACTTGTATTGTTTTATTTTATATATTAACTTGTAAGCTTTTATGTTCCCCTCACTTGCTTTTCCACTGATTGCTCGAAATTTTACTGGAATTAAAGTTCAGCCACAAGGACTGATCTATTTTCTGTACCAATAAACATAGACTACTATACTATATTACTGCTTGCTGTTGCTGCTGCTGTAATATTAGAACCTGGCCATGCTGCACAGCACAAGAACCAGGAAAGAGCGGGGGGGGTGGAGTGGGGAGACGGGGCAGGGAGACAATCAAATGCAAACTGTACCCATCCCTTGGAGTTTGGATGCATAACAACCAGGGTACAGAGAATTATTAGAATCTACTCCTTAAAGTGAATAGGTTGCTCTAGATTTTTGACAGGTAGAAAACTGGAATGCTTGTGTATACATAGTCTGTCTAGGTAAATATTTGTTGCACAAAATACTGGCAACTACTAGAATCAAAAGCTTACTGTATATATACCATATACACTGTTGTTACAAGTTTGGTTGTTACAAGTAGAATTGAAATCCATATATGGTCAACCTATTGCTTAACGCATTGTAAGCCACCCTGAGTCTCCGGAGAAGGGCGGCATATAAATCAAATTAAAAAAAAAAACAAAAAAACCAAGAAGTCCCATTCCTGATACAGTTCAATTCAATTCAAACCTTTATTGTCAGAGTACAATATGTGTACTATGTGTACTACTGAGCCTCCTTTCGTGCACCCCCCCAACACAATACAACTCACAGTGAAAGACAAAAAAAAAAATCCCTATCCCAGTGAATCCTGCTAACAATCACCCAATCCTATTGCACCATGTGGACTTATTGCATGTTGCGCTGGCTCCGCAAGTCAATTGTACTATGTTGTTGTAGTTATTTTTCATTCAGGAGCCTGACAGCCCACGGATAAAAACTGTTCTTCAGCCTGTTTGTGCAGCTGCCTGTACTTCTATATCTCTTTCCCAATGGAAGGAGGATAAAGAAGTGCTGACCAGGGTGTGAGCCCTCCCTGAGGATTTTCCTCACTCTTCTAAGGCAGCAAGCCCTAACAATGTTGTCTATGATGTTTTGTGCTGTGCTAACCACCCTCTGTAATGTTTTTCTATCCGCAGCTATCAAGCCAGCACACCACACTGTAATGCACTGAGTGAGGCTGCTTTCTACTATGGACTGGTAAAAGGTAGTCATCATAATACCACTACTCATCTCCAGCCCACCTATATCTAGCAACTATCTAACTCTACCACCACCCAAAATCCAGCACAGAGTTTTATAGTTTTGTAGGTGCAGGAGTTCTCTCCCTATAGACATTCATGCTACGCCTTGTAGAAAATGTTGCTCTTATGCAAGTAATGGAGGGAGGTGAGGAGTTCAGCTCCTTATATGGAGAATTAAAACGTGTTTCTTATAATGTATGTTAAATGGTTTATGCTGAAATGATTTTGTGATGTAACTTGAAATCGATCCACAATATTTTGACTGTTTTTGTCTTTTGGTCTGACTCTAATCAACTATGGCACAGATTTCAAAATACATAGGCAAGGATTTAAAAAGGAAATCTCTATTTATGTGTATGCAAGTGCTGAAAACACTCCTATCTTCTAGACTTTCACAAAGTCCTATTGCTCAATAGATATTAGCAGAAACTTACCTTGGGAATGTCTGGGAAGTGCCATTTATCAGGCTTGGCAACCTTTAGGAAACCCTAGATATGTTACATACTTTATTTTAAACATGGTTTGTGCTAAAATCTACATTTATTGATCCCTGTCAAAACATAATCAGAGGCTGCCAAAGTCTTATCACCCCATTCACTTTCCTAAGCTAGGTAAGTCATCAAATATATACAGTCCTTTCTTTTGTCTCAAAGGTTCTTTTTTTTCCCAAGAGGCAACTAGACTTTCTGTTTTTTTCTTTGGAGATGTTCCACTTCTCCTCCATTCTTCAGCTCTGACTGAAGCTTCTTGGATGAGAAGCGAAATGTCTTCAAAAAAAACCCCAGAAAGTCCAGTTGCCTCTTGGAAAAAAAGAACCTTTGGGACAACCATGGCTTGGATGACTGAGAATCTCCATAGACAATCCTTTCTTTTGCGTAATCCTTCATTTTGTAGGCAATAGGCTTGGTCCTATGGTTTGCTATTCAAAATGTAGAAAACAAAGCAGGACAGATGGAGTGTTTCTTTCTCTTCTGAGAGGTTTTGTTACAGGGTGTTGGCCTACTTTATTGAAATACGGAATAATGAAATAACTCAGGACACTCATGCACTTACTCATACCAGTGCATGAAAAACGAGAGGACACATCTAGAATCTGTATCATAAAAATCCCAAATTAATCTGAAACTGTGTTATGACACTAAGCATTAAGGCTTGCTGCCCAAATATACTGATAATAGATGAAGAAAAGGAAACATTCCTGTCCCTGAAGGCATCAAAGGAACATTTCTCATCATAACATATTCTGGCTCCCTGTTTTTCAAGGGTACCAAGGTCTTTCTAATAATGGTCGTATTTCCATGAAATATTATTGCTGAAGAGGCTGGCAATTTCATAACCCTACTTTATACATACATTTACTAGTTGTTGTTATTTTTTTTAAGAATGGCAATGCTCAGTGGTTTACACCAGTCCTTCTCAAACTTCAGCAACTTTAAGATGTGTGGATTTCAGCTCCCAGAATTCGCCAGCCAGCATGGTGGGGAGCTGAAGTCTACATGTCTTAAAAGTTGCTGAAATAGACAAACACTGGTTTACACATATAACCCCATCCAAAGCACAGCTGTAAAAACAAAAAGCCATAAAAACATGATCTTTAATTTCAAATTAAAATGGGCCCAATAAGAATTACTGATTTGATGGCACTGTGTTATTTAATTCATTATCTATCAGTTTAATTTAATTCATTAAAACGCTTAAGAAGAACTCCATTGTAACCAGCTTCTGAAAAAAACAGCAGCTTCCATCTCCCCTGGAAGATTATTGTCCAAAAAGAGGGTGGGGGAAGGAGGGGTGCAAAGGAAGATGTATCTTCACCTCAGCCCACTTCCCCTTCTTTTGGAGGCCAACGTGGTCCCCATTTTATTATATCAGATGAAAAGCAGTCATTAGGCTAGAGGGAACAGGTGATTTCCCTTGCAAAACACTTTGTGCTTCATACCATGAACAAAATGAAGGCACTCCATTTCTTCTGATCTTCTTAAACTGTTATTTGAAGCTATGAAAGGTGGTATGATTTTACAAAATCAGTCAATGCAAGGTCCAAAAGCATGATGGAGAGAAGGGCACCCACCATGGAATGGCCAACTCAGCTGCTACACTTAGTCATCTCCTAGAAAGAGCGCTGGAGAGAGAGCTTACCCCTTTCTGGGAGCTCCTGTAGTACACCAGTAATAAATGACTACAATTGAACTGTGCCCTCCTCCTTCGGAGCAGATTTGCATTTTACAGAATAAATGTTTCACAATCCCAGAAAAGAGAGGGGGGGAGAGAAAGGGAGGTACGGGAAGAAAAGCTTTCATGTGAAATGCAGTCTGTACCTTTGAGCCAATCCTGGAAGAATAACTCTCACCTCCTCCCCATCAATAGCACCAACACCTTCCTTCTCATTCCTTCCCTCTCTCCCACACACCTGCCTCATTCCTCAGGCTAGCTGGCTTATCCTCCTAGCCTTTGTGTTCCCATCAGCTGGGAGCCTGGACTTTTTTTTTCCCCCAGCATGTCCCAAACAAACAAAGATAAAGAAGGGGTTGAAGACCTCCAAATGTGAAGAGAGAGGGGGGGAAATTGGGGTAGAGACCAAACTCAGTCAGAATGGGAAGGGAAAGGAAAGGGTTGCATATTCTCTCCTTCAGCATCTCTTTCTGACTTCTTTGAACAATGAATCTCCCACCGCCTCCTCATTCCTCTCGGAACAATTTGTGCCTGTCACGCACCCGCCCGCCTTGTCTTAATCAAGTGGGCCTTTTGTGGGTAACACTAGGAGTCCCAAGAGATAGCCCTGTTGCTCCCTCTTGATCTGGAGCAAAGTGCAGGTGGAGTTGGCCACTTAGGGACCAGCAGCCTGTGGGAAGTGGGTGGGTGAGGGGGAGTCTTACAGTTTCTCCAGGACCTCTCCAAAGACTCCGCTTGGCACTGGAGGGTGTATTGACTGTCAGACTGCCCCTTGGAAGGGGAGATCCTAAGGAAGCAGGCTGCTTTTAAAAAAAAAAAAGGCAGGCAGGGGAGACTCTGGTTTCTCTGCTGGCGAGGTAGAGCAAGGGGAGGGAAAGGAGCTCGATGGAAAAGAGTATTCTGTGTGTGTGAGAGAGTGTAGCTGTATGTGCATGCCTCTGCGGGAGGGAGGCAGGGAGGGAGGGAGGGGGGGAAGGGGACTGTGGATGAAGAAAGGATTTCTCTCTCTCAGAGCTCAGTTAAACCTGCTGTCAGTTGGTGTTAAGGGAGCAACCGAAGCATTCGATTCCCAGAGAAAGAGTGGCACAGCAATATAGGAGGGTAAAGAGGGAACCAAAGAGAGGGGGGGAAAAGAGAGAAGAAAAAGAAGGAAGGAAGAAGAAAGGAAGGAAGGAAGAAACCAGAAGGGGGGGGAAACACCAAAAATCTATGCTTGGACCTGGGCTTCTCTCTCGCCAATGCAAAAGGGAATATGCAGCACATTTTTGCCTTCTTCTGCACCAGTTTCCTAGGGGCAGCGTTGGGGGTCAATTTCCCCAGCAACATCCAGATCGGTGAGTGTGAAAAACGATGGCATCTTGGTGGCATCTTCCCGCGGGGAATCGATGTTGCTGCGTGTTACGAGAATGGGAGGGAGAGCGAGATACAACCCACCCCTCGACTTCGCTCGCGAAGGGGGCCACTGCGTGTACTATAACCGCGTTCAGAGGATGAGGAGGAGACCCCCATACTGGACTTTGGGGGGAGGGGAAGGGTCCCTGCCTTCTAAGTGCTTCTGAAAGCGCCCCCTCTTTTTATTCTCGCTCTCGCTCTCATGCTCTCCTGCATGTGGGGACTCGGTATTTCGAGAATCGGGTGCAGATCACTTCGCAATCTCTTCCCCCGCTCCGGGGGGAGGGGGGGTGAGGAGAGGTTTTTTTGGGGTCCTTAGAGTGGGCGACCCACCGCCGGACGTCGAGTTTGGCGTTGCTCTTTGTTGTGAGGCTGCTAAACAAAAGCGGGGCAACGTCGCCAGGCAGCTGTTGCAGTGACCTGCAGTCGCTTTCCCTCGCCTGCCCACTCGAGATCTCATCCCTCCGTCCCCTCCCTCGGACAAAATCCGGCGCCAGGCTGGCTTTTCTGCCTCGCGCCTTGCCCCAGCGCTTCTATGGCAGTTTTCCCTCCATTCCCCAGGCTTTTTTGGGGGGGGAGGGGGGGCATCGCGCCTCCCACGTTGCTTGCGCGTCTGGCTAAGGAAACAAAAGGTGAAGCTTTAAAAAAATGAGCAGGCTTCCTTGGCAACCACGCCGAAGTGGGCTTCTGGTTGATCTATTTATTTCGCCGGGCGCAGACAAATCCGGGTTTTTTTGCACGCTGCTGAACCTGTCCAGGCAGCCTCTCCGGTATCCCCTCCTTCCTCCCCGCCCCTGATGGACTTGGTACACTTGATGCTTCGGACTTCTTAGCTTTAGTTCCACCTGCGGTTCCCGCTACCGATCGCCGTTTTTCGGTCGTTTGGTTTTTATTCCAGCCAGCCATTCACGCTGGGCCATCTAACAGACTCGAGCCCAACAGATTACGAAACAGTGCATTCCCGAAGCCAATTGCCCGAACCGAAACATTTGGGCTAATGCTTGGACCCATTGGGACACTTCATAATTGCTTACAGCCCGAATCTCTTGTTCCTATAAGCAGGGATTCAGTGAACAGCAGGCCTCGGGAGACCAGGGGCTTGAGTGGTCTTTTTGTTACTTCCTTAGGCTAAGTAACATCCCCTTATATAGGGCATCTCTTGGAGAACGTGGCTTAATTGTGGGTTCTCTTAACCTTGGCCTGTTCTCTTCTCCCTCACTGTCCAAAAACAGGAGTTGCTGGAATGATAGCAAGATATGTCTTTTGTTTATTCTTTTAGTTTAGCAACAACCTGTTGAAGAAACATCTGCTCAGCGTGGGCAAATCCACGCTTGGTTGAGGGGGGGAGGGAATTGGCCATTCCTTGCTGCAAAAAGGCTTAGTTTCAAGGTTTAGAGTATTGTTAAATCCTGGTTTCCTGAGCTTCGATCTTCGTTTATAAACCTAATTGGGGGATCTTGTATCTTTGGGGTTATGTAATAATCGGATGAAATGGAATATTGTACCAAAAGCGAAATTCAAGACTCCCCAAGGCTGGATATGGACTTCATAACATTTAAAAAGGACCTTTTGAAATTGATGACAAGTAGATTGCTTATGCCTAATTAAAACCCATCCTCCCAATGCTTTGGAGGACTCCATTCTATGATTTTTATTTATTGTTTGTTTGTTCTTTAGCTACAAGAGACTAACATGGCTTCCTTTCTGCCAAAGTGTTTGGAGAAATTTTGACAGAAAGTCTTTTGATACCCATTAAGTGTAATCGCTGCAGTTGTAGAATACCTTTGTCACTTAAAGTTCGATTTCTTACTTAATGTCCATTTTTTATTATATTTTTTCCCTTCTTTTTACCTTAGGGGGATTATTTCCTACTCAACAATCCCAGGAACATGCAGCCTTTATGTTTGCATTATCTCAGTTCACAGAGCCCCCCAAGCTGGCTCCACAGATTGATATTGTGAATATTAGTGACAGTTTTGAAATGACCTACACCTGTAAGTAAAGGCTAGCTATTGGCCAACCTTTTGCTCTCTCTTGACTGCTTTCGCACCTACCTGTCTGCTTATCTTTACATTAAAACCTCCTAGCAAGGATTTTTTTTTTTAAAGATAGGTCCTTTTTCCCTTCCCTTTTTAAAAATTATTTCAAAAATTATTCTCTTTTATTTTTACAACTGGTTTTCATCAGTTCTCCCTTACAATGTAATTTATGGCTATTGATTTGTAATTGTCTAAATGTGTGAAAATGACAAGAAGTGAAATTATGTAAGTATTATTTATAGGTATACAATATTTTAAAAATACCCAACAGTCACCTAAGAATATAAAAGCACTCTTCCACTAATAAAAGCTTGATGATAGGTATGAACTGAAGCAGACATACTTTGATTTTCAGCAGTTTAAATATTTCTGAGACTAAAAATGGACTATTAAAGCTTTTTTTTTAATCACTATAGGGATTTTTTTTTACTGTATCAGTAAAATGGAAGTCAGTGTTATTTAGATTTTATTTATTTATTAGATGTTTTTATCTCGCCTTTATTACTTTATACAGTAAATAACCGAAGGTGGCGAACATATATACAGTAGCACTACTTCCTCCTCCTTTTTTCCCCACAACAAGAGGGACTGGCCCAAAGTCATACACTTGCCTAAGGCTGGACTAGAACTCACAGTCTCCTGATTTCTAGGCCAACACTTTAACCACTAACCTTTACAGACTGTTGCAGATATGCTGCAAAGGTGACTATCAGTCAGGGCAATGAAAAATCTAAAATCTCTACTACTTGGGTTTAAAGGCTATCAGATTGTGCTGTGTTCACCACCTTGAGTTACTTATATAGTAATAAAAGTTGGATAAAAATCTAATTTATTAAATAATCTAATAATATTTTTCTTCTCAGAAAAAAAGAATTGATAAGATCCTATAAGGATTCTCTGAATTATTTCTCTGTTCTGTGTTGCATGAATCAGAGACTCAAATTTTAATTGAAGAGGTCATTTTCATCTTCTTTTGGAGTTTACCTGTTGATCCTTTCAGTGGTCTAGAAATCAAATGTCCTCGGTCTTTTTTGTATGATGTTTAGACTGTTGAATTAATAATCCCCAGCCTCCTATTTTGCAGTGGTTATAGATTTCTTTGTATGAGTCTTTTGTTAATAGGGAACAATGTTTGCTTATGTGGATGAAAGTAATTTATTTGCAACTTCTTGTGTGTTGTTGTTACAGTTATTTTGAAGTGGTGGATTTAGATCAGATTTAAAATAGAGAGTAAAATAGAAAAAACAACTGTGACATGAAAGTGAAAATGAACCAGAACTGTTGACCTTGGATAGACACTGCTCTAACACATTAATGGATAAAGAAAATTAAGGAAGTGATTTATCATATAAAGGAAGTCAAATGAATGCCATGAAAACTAGATGTATTTTAATGGGACAATGTTAATGGAATAGCTGGTAAAAGATTGAAGCAGTTAATATACCAATATATTTGTATATATTATTAGACAAGTGTCTCAGAGTTAAATGAAACAGCTCTCTACTTATTCACTTGTTTAATTTTGGAATTTAATTAATATTGATGTATTGTAGGGGTTGGGATTAATATATCATCAGTTGTAAGGATAATAGTAAATTCGGCTTAATGTTTCAGGTCCCTAATTGTGGCTAGGATATCAATAGAGAACTGAGATTGTGTCCCAGTGGTAAACTGTAAGCAAACAATTTTCTTCTCTCTCAATCTAAGGGACCAATAATTCTGACTAGCTTTATATTAGAGCTCAGTTTTATGTAGAAAACTTTGTCCTAGATGACCCATGAAATTTAGTCTGCACCACCCTGTTGCACTGGATCTCATTTTTCCCTCTTAAATTAAAAGCTTCCATCATTTTGCTCTCTGTGGGTTATCAACAATTGTTGCTTTTCACAAACATGAAGGCTACAGTTGGGCTTTACCAATTCAGCTTTAAAACCATATCAGACAAGGTCTTCATCTGCCTGGTACTCATATAGATTCATTTCCTATAAGTGTTGACAACAATAGGGAATCTCATAATTCCTTTTAGACAGTATTTACACAAACTCTAGTTTCTTTGGACAAATGTTTCATTTCAGAATGTGACTGTGGCAGGTGAAACCAAGCATTGTCGTCATGGAAATGTTTCACATATCTTGATTCGAGAATTGTTGGTATTCCTGTCACTATTATTTTTTGGTTGATGCTCTTGTGGACATTATTTATCTCCAGGTGTTTTTATAATGCTGGTTTTGGCTATTCATAAAGTGTTTGATTCTTCTACCGTATCAAAAATTGAAATGAAATTGAGCATAAGGGTGAATATGAGTCTGGGATTCTATATTTGTGGATTATTAAGATTGCTTATGGGGCTGGCCTACCAGCGTTTGCAAAAGACACTCACAATAGTGGTGTGGGAAGAGAGTTATTAACCTTTTATCCACTTGCCTTTTCTCCTGCAAATCCAAAATATATTATTTTCCAAGCTCACAAGTCTAGGAGAACAGTTGTGGAGGACAACCTTATTTGAGCTGGAATAAGAGGATCATGCATTCAGTTCTGGCTTCCAAAAAGTCTTCCCTAGATCTCCGGTTGTGGGCTCCCTGGACCTCCGGTTGTGGGTATTCTCCATTTTGGAGGATAAGCTTTGAAAGGAATTATGCAAAGATTTGTTCTTGCACAAATCATGAATCCTTTCATGAAGTTAGCTGCTAAAGCACAGAAAACTGTAAATAAGGACCTGAGAATTTAAAGTTGTCACAATAACCTACAATCAAAAATAAAAAGAATTTTCTAGTCTTTCCAAAGTGGAATGAAGCTAAGTTATAGTTTGCTTTATGAAAGTATTTGATGTGTGAGCTTTATGCCTAAATGTAGTTATTTTGCATAGAATATTACAGTAAAAAAAAGAAAACCCTTTATACCTATAGCGGTGGGTTAAATTGCAATATACCATATTAACATGTTGAGATCTTTTACAGCTCAAGTTCTCACAATCTATTTTGCTTAAAAATGGAGTATTATCAATTATTTTCATAAAAACAACCACTTTAATTTCTTGTTGATCTGTACCACCTACAATAAACACAACTAATTCCAAACTGGAGAGGACCATGTTAGGTGTTTCTTATCAGGTAGTGATAAATGATGAGAAGGGAAAAGGGGAAAAAGTGTCAGCATCATAAACACACTAATCGAAGTTCCTAACAGCTTAGCACTGAATACTTTTTGCTAGATGGAAGAATCTTCCATTTATATCTTTCTCCTATATTTAGAATGTAAAGAAGTGGATAGTTTTTGATATATTCCAATCAAATTCAACTGAATTTTCACCATCGCTGGTAAATTGGTAGAACTCTGTGTGTGTGTGTGTGTGTGTGTGTGTGTAAACAAACAAACAAACAAACAAACAAACAAACAAACAAATATGGGTTACTCAGTAATCGCAAACAGAATTGGGAACGACATACAGCAGAACAATTGTGTGTAGGCAGAACCAAAAATAGTGATAGATTATTGCACAGTTGCCATGCCACCATTGTTAGCGAAATAAAGCAATAACAGTAAGTGCGTATAAATCGTAGCTATTTATGCAATAACACTGACTACTGCTTCATAGTAAATGAGCCTGGCATCCATTATAATTGATTGCAGACATTTATCTCTCTTTTATATTGAAAGAAGACGATTACAAGTCATACGCTATTCTGTGTCTGAAATTGCTAGTGTTTTCAGATGTTACATATTTATCTCACAAAAATATAACTTCCAGCAGTATAGTATGTACAGGAAGGAAGACAACAAAGATGCAGTAAGATTTATTTGACGGGAAAATAGATGAGAGAGAGTGTACCATGTTTTTTTTTTTTTTAAGTCTAGAAATATTAGGAACTCGGCATGGGAAATTACATTTCAGAGTTTGCCAGTCTTTACATAGATGATGCCTAAGCAAACAAGATATGGCAGTCATAACAGAAGGCCACTGTGCCAAATGATAAATGAAATGGACCATAGAAAAAGCATCTTATATGAAAAATGGGACTGAGCAAAAAAGTAGGGACCAAATAAATTAGGACTAGCTTGCAAGTTGCAACAGTAGCATTGCAAGCATTAGTTTTGTCTATAAGCTACACGTGAGGTACGGGATCTAGCCATTCACTCTGGTAATGCTGTCCCACTGATTATCAAACTTAACCAGCTGGATCTGTGCCCAAAGTATCAGCGGCCTTGTTGGAACAAGCTTTTATGGGGAAAAAGACTCAACTGGGTATTTTCTCCAAGCATTCCAAGAAGGCCTGACAGTGACACAGGTTGGCTGATTTGCTGGCTTTTAATGAACAATGAGGAAGAAGAGAAATGGTAAAGTATAAATTGGGGTTCAAAATGGCAGTGCTCCACACTGCAGCATTTTGTTAGAATTTCCATTGGGAAGCGTGGATTTGCTAGCAACATTGGTGCAATTTTCTGCATTGGGCATGATGTTGCATTGTAAGTATAGATGCCGTCTTGCACATGAACTTGTCCTGTAAATTTTATACAATGCAGTATTGCACAGTATGGTTCATTCATGATATTATGTAACAATGTTTAATATCTTTGTGCATTCATTACATAGCATTTTCTTGCTTTTTAATATTTTAGGATCTCTGCAGTCGGCCCAAAGAATTTTACTTTTCAAATCAGAGTGGTTGCAATAGAAGTAGTAATAGTAATAGCGTGATTAATTAAACATAAGCTTTCTTACTATGGAACAATTCCACTGATGGAGAACATCAAACATACATTTGTGAGTTTAGATCTTCTCACACAAGATACAAAGTTATATGTCATTACTGTAGATTACTGTAGCAATGAATGAAAAGTACTCCCAAATTCTTTGTGTGCAAATTAGAATTCAATACTCTGTATGTATATACTGAATTCTTCAGAGAAGCTGCAGTCATTTCTCAGAAATATGATTATAAAATTCCGACCATTTG